AGAATGGAGTAGCTTGAATAATTTGAGGTATACAGCTTTTTTGCTAAATTTAAATGAAAATCTCTGAGAACCTGGTAACTACCACTAGGGGACGTCCAGCGGCGTTTCGCTCTATGTATGTTGACCTTTAGATGATAAAGTTGTAATAATCAAATTTTTCCGGTTTTTGAGACAAAAGCCTGTTTTTGTTAGAGTGGGTCTCATTTTGAATGTTTTAGGCTCTTTTACTATACGATTTGTTATATTTGCCTCCTTTACAAATATTGATAATGTGCCAAACCTTTGCAATCATCAAAGCATTCGCATTATAAAATCCAGGATCGATCTCCTCTGCCTTTAGGAAATTGGACAATGCCTCATCGATGGTAGACTCCGGTAGAGAACCATAGATGGCTTGTGCTGCCCTTTTCTCCCACCAACTAAGCATCGCAACCTAGGAAATACAACCGTGTTTCAAGTCATTAGAAAATATAGGTTATATATATTACATAGATTAACATGTGTTCAAAGTATAAATAAATATCAATTGTTGACTTAAAATTCATTCATATATCTGTTATAGATGAGATTTCCCCGATATGGCAGGGACAGTGATGATTAAACATCTAGTATACGTGGTTGTGCCTACAAACTTTTTCAGTGTTTAAATTATAATATAAAATTCTAAACAAAATTTAATGAAGTGTGTCAGGCAGATCCTGAGGGTGGTAAAGCCTTACTCCAGTCCCTGGCATCAGCCATACATACTCTGTCCTTGTGAAATTATTTAGGTAAGAGATTAAAATGGCTAAAATTCCAGAGGTTTTCAGGATGGGTGAATATCCCCTGGCCCTCACAATAAAAGGAAACACCCCAACCCTCCCCTACTGACCATATGTCCAATGCCCACGAACAAGGTATAAAAAAAAGTATTGCCTAAACCATAAGGACAACCTTGACTGCAAGTGGGTGAAGGACATATGTGTGTTAGTTTTATTCATGTATAATTAAATTATATTGTTTTATGTTATGTCTACAACTCCAACCTGTACCTTCTTAAAAAGGACAATTTTATTGTTAATATTAATCCATTATACTCACTTCATAACACCACCTTCCATAAAAATTATACAAATATGCTTCGGTAGGTCGAAGTTCAATGGCTTTTAATATATGTTCCTGTGGAGAAGCAAAAATAAACATATACAGAATAGTATTGACTACTCTAATACAGTAATTGCACACTTAAAAAGAAATTGTAAGGAACTGTTGCATTTACACAAATACATCCTTAGGTTTAGTGAAGTGCCCATTCTTTTGTATGTCCTAGGATTATGGATAATAATGAAGTAATCACCAATGGTAGAGTAACAGCTTAGTATAGTTTAAAGTTATGTCCACACTATCAAATTTCATGTAACAAAAAATGCCTATATTTTTTGTTACATGAAATTTGATAGTGTGGACATGTAACAAAATTTTCTGTAACAAAAAAATATTATTTATATTTGGATGTGATATAACATCATCATGCAGGACTCTCACCAGCATTTTGGAGTGGTGGACGGCGACCACGCCCATCACAGGGGGAGTTTTACATGCTCCTGTAAATGTAACAATTTGTTATCATGTAACATATTACGGAGCTTTTGATTTGCGTGACAACGTGATGCTAGGACAGATTTACTCATGTGTGAACGTCCTACGTTCTATGCACAACATAGATTCGGCCAAATTGATGATGACTTTATGTGACATCATTACGTTTTACGTCCTATTGTCTCTGAGCAGTCAAAAGTTCCCTAATGCTGCATATTTTGTACGTGTGAATCCAGACTTACTTTGAAGAGGAAACCATTCGCTATTTTTTGAGCGGTTGTTTCAAAGTCAGCAAGACTACCAATTAACAAGGCAAACCACTTGTGAGCATCCGCAGATTTGTTATCATATGTCAAAGCCTTCTTTGCAACTTCCGATCCTACAAAATAACACAGAAAAAAAATGTAACAATATAATTGACTTCTTTTTCATCTGTAGGTCATTGTGAGCACAA